CTGTTCGATCGAAGGAAGATCGATTCGAATCGTACCTAACCACTCTCTCTCTCTCTCTCTCTCTCTCAACTTAATCAAACTCTTCTCGCTTTACGTTAATTCTGCGGCGACGTCCATTCAGGATTAAATCCTCGCGTATTCACCTCTCGGTTTTTGGACAATTGTTGACAGAAAATTGTTGAAACGGCGCTCGGGAGAACAAGATACGTAAACAAGTTTGATGAAACGAGTGAAGTGGAGTGGTAGAAGTGACGTGTGCCTGGTCGAGCGCGTCTCTCGTCGCCACGATTGAACGACCGTCGACTAGCAGATTCACGCTGCCGTCTGCACGAGAGGTGAGACAATTCATCTATTCATACTTCGCTGAAAACACCCTTAAACCACTCTACACCTTCCACAAACTTGCAACCTTCGAATTCAACGTTTACAAACCGACACACGGTCGTCACGCCGTTATCGTAATCGACGAAATATACGGCTTAATTGACCCGTTGCAAAAGAAGCACCGTGAACACCGTACGCCCCCCATATAGAAAGTCGTTTCGCGGTCTAATCGAAATCTCCGTTCAGATCCACGTGAACGTCGTCGAAGACGTGCAAACGTTCTTACGTTGAAAATGCGTCAGCAGGCGTGTTATCTCGGTGAGCTATCGAAATACGCGGCCGTGCTAATTGCCGTTGCGACGGGGGTGGAATGCCATGCCTAACGAGTAAAGTCGTCATTAAGACGAACGGTTGTTTTTCTTATCGGGAATCGCTAATTACCGGCACGGTCATCGGCGATATCTCGCGTAAGGATCGCCGATAATCGCGTGTTCGCGTGCTCCTTTCCGCGACGGTAATTAAATCACTCTTTTGTTCTCCATTACATTCCACGGCGGGCGACCCCCGTCCTCTCTCTTTCTCTCTTTCTCCCTTCTGTATACGCCGTGTCAACGGGAAAAAGAGAAGCGTAAAGCTGTCGTGGAGATAAGAGCGTTAACTTTACGACACCTTTCCGCAAAATGCTATTCGGTGGACGGTAGAATGCCATTCGTATGATATCATTCGCGGAGAGTTCCACCCTTGGGTGGAAACAACGTGCTTCAACGAGCGCTGATAAAAAGAAAGTCTCGGTAATGATGATTAGGTGTATATATTTCAAGCATTCAATCTCGTTGCATTCGTATTTCGTACAATTCTGTTCATCGGATGAAATTATTTCTCAGTCTTCGTGAAATTGCCGAGAAAGAAGGTGAAACTGGAGACACTCCCGTGACTATAACGCAAGAAGAAAAGAAAACGTAGCAGGAGACAGAGTTTATTAAGTTTCGAACCGATAAGTTCGCGAAGCCGGTAAGCACACCAGCGACTGTGTAAATCACGTGCCACGGGTATGTGGAGTAGAAAAAAAGGTAAGAGGCCGAGATAGTGGCCGCACAATGCAGATATGCGTGCCACGGGTAACGCATAATAACGATACTTTCATAATTCACGTGCGCGCGCGATTCAGGCGCAGTTACGTAACCGGCAAATATGGCAAATATCCGTGGAACGTCGCACAACCGAAACAAGCCGTTCGACGAAACGATTCCTTACGATTTTCTTTCATAAGCGGACCGCGAACCACCGCTACCCATAGTTTCGCGATACTTTTCTCTCTCTCTTTCTTTCTCGTGTGTGTGTAAGTATATACCTAAGTACTTATGTACTACAAGCTTGCCCGTGCAACATCGACTAAACAGCTCTTTCCTCTCCGTCTCTTAAGCTTCAATTATTTTCCCTTCTATTAAAAAAGAATGCATCCGTGGGTTTTCTTCGAACAACGAACACGCATTTTTGTTTCACGCAACAACGTAATTGTTACTTTCCATTAACAGACGTGTATCATTAGCCGGGTATTAATGAGTTTGATTAATTGCTAGGTACGGTATACACAGGTGCGTTAATAAGGTGTTTTGTATGCGTAAGAGGTAGGAAGCCTTTGGTTGCACCTGGGTGCTGTTAATTAGCGTATTTTCGTGAGAGTAAGTTGTCAACGAGTGGCGAAAAGCGTGTACCCTTTGAGTGGTGAGTAGTTTGAGTCACGTTCGGCTAGTTTTCGTCGTTACTTTCGTGTATGACGTGTCGTTCATTTCGTTCGAAGATATTTATAGTCTATGCCGAGGATATTTCATTGGTCATATGTAACGTGTTTCAGAGTTGCACAATGAAATTGTAACGATATGGATAATGAACAGCATGGGCACCCTGTTCATTCATGGGAGGAGAAGGGTTGAACCCTCGTTTTGCGACGAGTCACACTGGTCGAAATTTTAATTTCGACACTACCCTTAATTCTCACTCATAAAATCGACTACTTAGACACTTTAACGCGCCTAAACTTCGGAAATAATGGACTGATAAAAAATATAGCATAATCATCTTAGAAATCTCTTTGAACCATATTATGCGGTAAAGAAAATTCGACAGGTCTGCTAACAATAGAAAAATCTAAGGTGATCACTTTAGCTGGTTCATTCTGTAGAATTGAATCGAATTGCAACGTTACCCCTATGAAACCACAAAATAAGAGATTAACCCTTGTGCAGGCAAAACAAAATATTCGCGGTTTTCAAGCTTTAACATTCAAAATTGTGTGCAGAAATTATTTTGACGTAAAAATGTCTAAAAAGTGGGGATCCAGAGCAATTTCACGAGAACCTAAAAAACTGTCAAAGCCGATTCTCCGACAAGTTTCCATTTTGGAACCGTTCATCCACGTAAAAGTGTCCAAACAGTGTATTTCGCGGTACTTTCCCTAAAAAATAAAAATGTCTAAAAAGTGGGGATCCAGAGCAATTTCACGAGAACCTAAAAAACTGTCAAAGCCAATTCTCCCTAAAAAGTTGGCAAAAGAAGATCTAGAAATGGGTAGCCGGTTGTCTGCACAAGGGGTTAATAGAGCGATTCTCGGTACCGATATCCGCTGTTCTTTCTTCCACCTGACCAGAATGACCGAGCGGGATCGGTTCGATCTTTGGAGCGCGGCGGGACGTCCCCTGGACAGGAGAGACAGTTAGAAAAGCGACTGCATTAAAATACACGAAGGGGAAACGGTCAGCGTGTTACTCGTCGCGAAGAAATTCCGCGTGTGACATCGCACGGTAACATTGTAACCCCGGTTGGTATTCCGGTAGCATAGCAACTAGTGACCGGCGCGCGAGTGCCGGTAGCATTTATTACAGCCGGCGGCGGGCACACTCGCGGTTCTCTACGTAACCGGCGTACTGTAGAGAAGTCGCGTCCCTCGCGTG